AAAAAGTCATAAAAATGGTCATAGTATAATATGTCTAAAAAAAGTCATAACAATGGTCATAGTATAGTATGTCTAAAAAAGTCATAAAAATGGTCATAGTATAGCATGTCTGAAAAAGTCATAAAAATGGTCATAGTATACTATGTCTAAAAAAAGTCATAACAATGGTCATAGTATAGTATGTCTAAAAAAGTCATAAAAATGGTCATAGTATAGCATGTCTAAAAAAAATCCAAAACATGGTCATAGTATAGTGTGAAGAAAATGTCATAAAAATGGTCATAGTATAGCATGTCTAAAAAAGTCATAAACATAGTCATATGATAGCATGTCTAAAAAAGTTATAAAAATGGTCATAGTATAGTATGTCTAAAAAAAGTCATAAAAATGCTCATAGTATAGCATGTCTAAAAAAAGTCATAGAAATGGTCATAGTATAGTATGTCTAAAAAAAGTCATAAAAATGCTCATAGTATAGCAGGTCTAAAAAAGTCCTAAAAATGGTCATAGTATAGTATGTCTAAAAAAGTTATAAAATTGGTCATAGTATAGCATGTCTTAAAAATGTCATAAAAATGGTTATAGTATAGTATGTCTAAAAAAATCATAAAAATGTTCATAGTGTAGCATGTCTAAAAAAGTCTTCAAAATGGTCATAGTATAGCATGTCTAAAAAAGTTATAAAGATGGTCATAGTATAGCATGTCTAAAAAAATCATAAAAATGGTCATAATATAGCAGGTCAAAAAAAGTCTTCAAAATGATCATAGTATATCATGTCTGCAAAAGTCATAACAATGGTCTTAGTATAGCATGTCTGAAAAAAATCATAAAAATGGTCATAATATAGTATGTCTAAAAAAATCATAAAAATGTTCATAGTGTAGCATGTCTAAAAAAGTCTTGAAAATGGTCATAGTATAGCATGTCTAAAAAAGTCATAAAAATGTTCATAGGAAAGCATTTCTAAAAAAGTCTTCAAAATGGTCATAGTATAGTATGACAAAAAAGTCATAAAAATGATCATAATGTAGCATGTCTAAAAAAGTCATAAAAATGGTCATAGTATAGTATGACAAAAAAGTCATAAAAATGGTCATAGTATAGCATGTCTAAAAAAAGTTATAAAAATGGTCATAGTATAGTATGACAAAAAAGTCATAAAAATGATCATAGTATAGTATGAGAAAAAAGTCATCCAAATTGTCATCGTATAGTTTGTCAAAAAGTCCAAAAATAATCCCAGTATAGTATGTCAAAAAGTAATGAAAATTGTCATAGTGTAGCATGAGAAAAAGAAAAAATACCCTAAGCTCCACATACACATCAGTATTAATCAATTTCTGCTTTTAAATGCAGTCCAATTCACCCAGCACCAAATATTCACTTGAACATGTCTTTTCATCACATTGACACTCACACACTTCTATCACACATCTAAAAATAGCCAATTGAATAACTGTCACAATGTGTTAGTTGATAGCCCATTTGATACTTTGGTACTCGATACTCCCACACTTCCTTGTTTAATCTTGACTGCTCGTCTTGTGGTGTGGTAAGTCATATCAGAAGAAACCGAAGATTGGGATGTCGTTGTCTCAATATAAAAGTGTTAACACATGTTGGAACACCCACATCCAACACCAATATATGATACAGTCATAATGATATCCAGATAGATAGATAGATAGATAGATAGATAGAAGTACTTACTTACTTACTTGCATATGCAAGTACATAAGACATATGTCTTATGTACTTGTTCCAGACTAAAATATCTCACCATCTGTCGGATGGATCGGGTCCCCAGAGAACGAAGCCACTGATTTTGGCTATACCTTGATTTTTCGCTGAGCACCAAGATGAGGCTGACATATTTGATGTTTTAATTGATTTATCTGTTGGGCTGTTGGATGGTTGGCATCATATTTGGTACATCAACTGCCAAAATGTGTCAGAATTTGTCCAATACCAACATGTAGGAGCATAGAAAATCATGCCTTAACTATAGGGATCTGTCTTGTTAAGAGGTCACACTTAATCTGACGTGGTTCTGATCAGCTGATGTGGTGCACATGACTCATGTATCCTGCCTGGATTGACACAAGACCTCAGTAGAGTGAAGCCCCCAAGGTGCAAACCACTACAGTGAATTTGCACAACATCATAGCAATATTTGGATCAGAATTAGTTAGCATGATGGCAAAATGAGACTCAGATGAAAATAACTGAAATCAGATTTTACCTCAGTAATTGTAGAATGCAGTGTAATGCTGCTATTTCCCAGGTTTTACCCAATTTACCACATGATCCAGCTGAAAAATATTTACATTGAGTTGGAAAAGGGGGAAATCAGTCACTGAACTAACAGACAGCCATCCCCTATGAATTACTTTAATTTATATCATTAACTGAAGGTGGCTATGCCTCTCTGCATGTGAGCTGCTGGGAAGCATTTTCTTTTTCCATCTCCCTCAACAAACTATTCCTTTAAGCTCAGATCCAGTTTCTTTCCAGTCATGCAACATTAACTGCACTTTAAAAATCAGTAGCTTGATGTTCATTCTCACAAATTAGGCCATTAACGTCATTGGTGTGCCAGGAACAGCACTCACATTTCGATGCCAATGTATCAATGACGGCTTAAAGAATGAGCTCCTCTTTTAAAACCCACCTCAGCGCTTTTTGTATTTTGAAAGGGCTCGGTAGGGATCTTCCAAAAAGAAAGACACTCTTTAGAGGCACACAAGAGTTAAAAAATACAATATTAAAGCAGCTCCAAAATGAACCAGCAGCGATGGTGAGAAAACAAACTTCCAAAGAACTGTCCACACTCCTCAGGCTTATGTTCACTTTAACCAGTGTTTTATTTCTACACAATAAATGACAGCAAAATGAACATGATACTCATCTTTATGACTCTTCCTTATGAAAATATAGTACACATCAGACATGTTTTGCCATGTACCAGAGCACCAAAAATATATATAATTGCAACTGTGAAAACAGAGAGAATCATCGACTGAAACATAAAAGTCCAATCTGTTGTATATGTGCCTGAAAAAGTGCATACTGTGTAAGAACCAAAGACAGAGGAGGCCATCAGAAGGAGGGAGGGACTACTGAGTCTGATGGCTACCTTTACAGTGTTGGTGAAATTCTCAGCAAACACAAAGGCATTGGGATAAGACTCGACAATATACAGTATGGAGTGAGGAGAAATGAAAGCTGTTTGCAGACAAATTTGAAAATGAACTTGCGTGAATGCGTGACAAGTATCAGTCAAGTTTGATTATGAGGATCAATTCCAACAGACTCCTAAGACCCAGACATGACCATTATGATTTTATTCATCTTGACAACAAATAAATAATTCATGACTCAATGGATAAATTCATGGTTTAGACAACTGACAACAGTGCTTGTACTAAGCCATTATGAACAAATAAATGCTGACAGCGAGTGGTGTGGTAAAGCATCACAGGTCTTTTTTTTTCTTTTTTTCTTTTTTTTTTTTTTCTGTCTTGCAGGTGATACTTTGACACAATGCACAACATATTCACGGTTCATCTCTTTGTATAATAGTTATGATAAAAATCAATCCAAGAGCTACTCCCAAACAGTTAGTACATGGTTTGCAAATACAATCATCATATAATATTATTTACATCTTAAAATATATTTGTTGAGCAATCGGGTACGAAACATCGCAGTAATACCACTAGATATCCACATAATATGTAAATACACTTTTTTTGTACTTCCCACATAGAAAAAGGGACAATTCACCTTTTTTATTTATTGAGGGATTAGGAAACAGACATAAGTGGACCGTTCTATAACCAGAGGCCTGTGAGAGGTACTTCATGTGTTACAATACACAAAGAAAATGTCTTACAACAAGATGGCACATCAGTATTTTTCTCCACAATGATCTGAGCAAAAATATTAGGGCTTCAGACACTCTTTCTTACATTCCCCATCACTTTGTAATGAGTTCGACACTAAAAAGCTTCTGCCATTTTTAGACGAGCAATACAACAACCAGGTGTGTTAAATTAGAAACAAAGGAGTGACTGTTGGTGTAAAATGTGGAGAGGTATCAAAGCCTGTCAAAAAAAGACGGCTATACAAATCATATTATGTGATAAGCATAGGCTCTAGGTGAGGCGAACTGTGTTCCTTCAGCCTAACTTCAAAAGGCTCTGTAAGCTGGGCAAACATCCTCTCTCATTTTCACAGGGCCAGCTTGACCCTGGCAGCCCCGCTCAGGCATACCTGACAGTGACAGATGAGGCAGTGTGTCGAGGAGTGGGGAGGTGGAGGTAGGAGGGGTGAGGGAGGGAGTGGTGGGAGTCCCAGAAAGGGATGGCTGCCACCCCCAGGAGAAACTCTGACTCATTGGCCTCGGCTTGTTGCCAGTCAGCGCCGGCCACCCCTGGCCCAGGGGCAGCCTCTGTGAGTACACATTTTCACACCTGGACAAATAGCTAGACAGGCCAGGAAAAGCAGCCCACCCATCCCTACCTCTCTCCCTGCCCACCTACTTTTCCGCCATCCAAGAACACTATCTGGGGCACCATCGGCTGCCTTCTCACCTCCAGTCCTTCTTTCCCTTCATTTTTGATCCCTCTATATTTGCCACCTCTCCTGTCCTCAGCTGGCTGTGTACATATATTCCTTGTGCCTTACACTGGTCTCTCAAAACATCATTTGCTATATTATGGATTTATGAACTTGACCATTATATACTTGGTTCTCTTTTCACAACTCTTTGTATGCATGGCTAATGTGTGCATTAAAAAAAAAAGCAAATAAAGAAAAAAATAAACTTTACATTCTGGTTTGAAAGGAAAGAAAAGATACACTGCACTCAGTAACATTTGAACATGTGGTGAATCCTCATTGGATGCGAGCAGTGTCCATCTATCAATGACCAATGAGAAAAGTTTTTGTGTGGTTGTGGGCCTGTAGTGTACTGTATGTCTAATCAGTGCTTGACAGCAATGATCACAATGTAGCGCGATGACAGAGACAAATGACAGTTTTGACTCACAACCGATAATGTTTTTTTTTTTTTTTTTGTTTATAAGAACAATGTAAAAAATAACTTACATGGACATTAAATATAACTTAAAAAAGTATAACACTCTCAATAAATAGTTCTACTATTTACACCATTGTTATGAGACGCAAAAATGTCACTAAAATACCAAAAATATAGAAGCAGCAAACATTACAGGCATGAGGTACAGCAAGGGATCCTGTGATGACTACAGTAGAGAGGTGATGTCCTCATCCAATGCGTAATCTTATACTTCCTTCCATGAATATCTTGGTTAGCTATGGCTTATGGGTACCTTCTCCAATATTAAGAATATATTTTTTTCAAGTTGACATGCAGTTTCATTCTGTAGCCTCTCTGATAGTAATAACGATCAGTTGTTTTGGTATCCAGACATTGACTATTGATACAAGTAATCATTGAGGAGGATATTATATATAGTTAGTCAAAGTATGTGGAAGCGACGACAGGTTATGTGAACACAGTTTATAGAATGAAGGGAAGGATCCAATGACAGATTTCGGATTCATCCATTCAAACGGTTAGAATGGCTTTCCAGTGACCTCAATGGCAGATGATGAACCACAGTACTGCATGTCATCGGCATAGTGTAGTGATTGCAGGTAAGTCTCTCCCCACTGGTAACAGTTCTATGTAAAGCAGCAGTATCTGGAGTACTAATATTACATACAATTTGATAATATCAACATAATACAAGTTTTTTTTTCTTCTTTTTTTTTTTTTTTTTTAACCAGGGCTATATATGTTTTCATATAAAGTGTTAAATGCAATCTTTGTAGATGATGCAGCCTTTACAACGTCCTTACAAAGTTTCAGGTTTCATAAAAGTTACAAAGTCTCTCAAGAGTCCCTTTTTTAATGGGAATTCCTTCATTTAAGCTTTTCCTTCCTTGACATCTCTTGGTTTCTCTGACAAAATTTACACCTTTAACCTAAGACGATGTACTACACACACATCAGGGCAAAACAAAAGACAATCTAATCTGCAGTCTAACTAGACTTGAAATACACTTCCAAACATTTGGGGGGGGATTTTGGGCCTGTATGGATGATGGATGGATATAAGGTTCATTGTGACAATACCTCCCTACTTCATTGATAACCTCGAATGTAAAGTCAGTTTAGGTTGGAGAGGAGCATCTATGGCCAGATACATATAACACGCTAATGACAGGAAAGCTAATAGCAACACAGGGAGTCAAACGACTGAATATCATAACATACAGTTTGTTTCAGATCACCATTCTGACAATAGCAGCTTCTAAACATTTTCGAAAGATATACGTTTTCTTCTTACATGGAAACTAAAAAAAAGTGCAGTAACTGAGGTCAATAATACAAACACTGATTAAATATGACATTTTGTGAAAATGAAATACATGAAAAACAAAGACATTTTTTCAACGCTCCTGTCCATCAAGAACATAAAGTAATATTTACATGATAAGTTTTGATTTTTTTTTCTTTGTATTTGATGGAAAATAATACCTTCTCGCTTTCTCTGCATGTTGTGGTATTGTCTTGCTTCTTCACTTACATTGGTTTTAAAATTACATGAAATTGGTCTAACATTGCCACTTGTACAACTCGTTGTGTGCGATGATTTGTAAGGATTATCTGGAATGCTTTAGCAGCCTAATATGAGTTAGAGAGACTGTGCCATTGGCCCAGATGAAATGAAAGTCCCAATCATGCTGATTGTAAGCATGACTATGGCTACAGCCGAATAACAGCAGCAAAGTTTGGACCAATATGCCAAGCAGCCTTCATTATCAAATGTGCATGAGAAAAACTAGTGTATATGTGTCTGGAATGAAGAATAACAAAATACAAAGCTATTGTAGCAGCCATATAATCTAAAGACGTTAATTGGTGGGGACAGACACCCGAGTTCACAATACTGAAAAGTGCTGATCGGAACAACCAAGTGCACTTTTTACTGCAGAGACAAATGTAACGGTTAAATTAATTACTTATACACTAGACCCAGCAGAGAATCTTAGGGACCTTTGATCATATTGCGACTGCAAATGCTGTGTTGACATATACATCCAAATGTCATTTTCATGTATAACATGGTTGCCTGCAGAGCTACAGCTGAGAGTCCAATACTACCGGGAGGGGAGAGAATGAGAGATATGTGTGTACGCGCTCATTTGTATCAGATGTGGTCTCCTTCCACTTATACGCATTCTCACTAAGAGCCATGGCCCATATCCAGCCCTTTATTTCTGTACTCTTGTGTGACTGTGCGGTGCAGTACTGTGCGATCAAAAAAAGCCACAGACTCCTGACAAGCATTGACTACATTCTGAAAAGGGCTGGGATCATTTTATTTTCAGTTTAAACATTTTTGAATTAGTGCTTGAGGTAACAAAGTTCTGATCAAGCGCCATGAGGGAGGAGTTCAAACTGAAATTAAAATCACCCCAACCCGAAGTGAGGTGTTAACGATGACATTCTTTAAGTCGTGGTCAATGTATGTAGTATTTTTCTTGGGCAGTCGGGTTAAACGGGAATGACAAGTGAGGTTCTGGGTTTTTTAAAGTTCTTAGTGCATTTCATACGTGGTGTCGTCGACGTGTATTCTCTGAAAATATTATGGACTAACATGCAAATGTGAATGAATGCTATAAAGAGGTACTGTAAGCAGCAAGGCAGACGAAGCTGTCTAACCCTATTAGATATTATGATGTGAAGATGGCAAGTAGCAGCAAACACAGTAGCAGAAGCCATGCTAAAACTTTTTTCCATAATGCATTCAGGATTTTGCTCTAGGTATAAAATTGTCTTAGGAAATTGTGTGTGGTTGGTCAACAACTAGTCGACTTTGTGTGTGTGCATGTATGTGTGTGTTTGTGCATTTTATTTTGGCTTTTGTGTTGAAACTGTGGCTTGAAACTTAACAATATGGCTGTCTCATTCCCCACCAAGCTATGAATAACCTCTATAGCCTCTGATGTGCCTATGAAGAAACACACTTTTACTGAAAAGGACATAGAGATACAAAAATGTTTGACCAGTCTGAAACCAGGAATGATATAAGCACAAACTTCTAGCCCCTCCGAAAAAGGTGTTCGACATGTCTTCAATTTGTCTGAGGATTATTTTTAACATTTGTCTTGATTTCCTTCATATTTGCAAAACACAGAGCCAACATCAACACAATCCCCCACTTGCACATTTTGATTTACCTTTGGTTCAATCATGTGATTGTAGAGCAAGGTCACTAAAATAGACACTGAAGCCAGCACAAAACTGAACAAAAGGCATGCTACCTAGGCTTGGTTATGTTTTTGTTTAGGTTTTTTTTTTTGTTTGCTTGTTTTCTTCTTTCAAAAAAATGTCTGTTTCATGTACTTTATTTTTTTTTCTCCTTGCTATATACGTTTTTTTTTTTTAAATGATGATATTGCAGGGTTACTTTCCTTTTAGCTGAGAAATGAAGTTTCCTGTGGAGTCTCATGAGTTCCATCCTCTATTCTAGATCTTTCTGTGATGTGGAGGCGGAGGCATTTCAGCTGGTTGGGATTGCAGTATGGATGGAGAGGTATGCCTGTTAAGCAGCATGTGCAGGAAATCGGAGGCCGAGAAGAGGATGAAGGAGGGGTCTGCCTCGGCCACTCTGGCTGTGTTGTGTTGGAGCAAGGGTCCTGGGACGTTGAACAGAGGTCCCTGCTCAGGTTGGTCACCCCAGGGAATGGACATGTTCATCCTTTCTGTTCTCTATAGCGTTCTGATCCCGACAGGAGCACTCATCCCGTATGTCACAGGACATGGGGAATGGAATCACCTGGGTGGGAGAGAAAGAGATACCAACATTAATAAAATTTTCATCTCAAAAATGAAATCATTTGTTGATGCAATGGTTAAGGTTTGGCTAGATTTAAGTACAAAAACATCATGGTTTGTGTTAAAATGACCACCTCATCAAAGCTGTAGTTGGTAACTTTTATTCAAATAACCTTTTGTCATATTTTCTGAAACTCACTATATCCTGACCGTAGAACATAAGACAGATAATCTGTGAAAAAAAAAATCATGTTCCTCTGCCTCCTGCTGGTGCTAACTGACCTATGGCTAAGTCCCACTCTCAAACGCGATGAGCCAATCACAGTGCCTATAGCCATTCCCATACACTTGGACGTTCTCTGCCTGGACATTCGTTGAAATGCATTACAGAAAGTCAGTTTCGTTCGGCTTTATGAGCTTTTTCTGAGATTTGAAGTTTAAAAATGGTCAAACGGTGTGCAGGGGTACATGCAACTCTGACACAAGGTATCCTGAGAGGCTGGGCGATGAGGTGTATTTTTTACCCTTTCCTAAAAACCACATCTCAACTGACAGAAAGTGTCTCCTTTGGATAAAGTTGTGCGGTAACGTTAGATCACAACATCAACTCAAGGTGCATAAGATTAACAATGGTGTCTACATCTGTTTTAAGGTAAGTCAACATTGTGTTTGAGGCAACATATTATCACTTTGCTGGAAAGAAATATAAAGTTATCTTTAACATCTCTAGCTAACGTTAGCTAAAGTTAGCCTAACGTTAGCTCCTAGCTGCGTTGTTCATCATGTCACCTTGTTTGCTGGGAGTTCATTAGCCCATTTTGTTCTAGTTTTTGTACTTTGGTGATCGTACATCATTGTTAGCTGTTGTCCAAAGAGCTCTAGTTAAGCTAACGTTACCTTCTGGAGCTTAGCTTCATTAATTTATCTGTAATCGCAGAGATAACAATGGTTGGCAAACATTAGGGTGAATGATTCAGTGTAAATACTGTAGCACCAAACTAATGGAGAGACGCTCTTGGTAAAGATGGTAAAAAGGCCGTTATCCTTTTCTCATATTCTGAGCCAAAAACCTTAACTTCAGTGGCACTTTATCTTGTTGTCTTTGATGGTGAGGGCAACGAGATGCGGTTCACAAGCGTACACTGGGACCTGTAAATTTTCGCTTGTAATTTAAGCTTTTCATCGAGCTTCTCAACAATAAAATGATTAATATATCCCTCCAATGCGTAGTTTAGGCCCTTTTGGTTACTTCTCAATGACATCTGATCGTTATGTCCCCAAAAATCATCAATTGCCTCCTGCAAAATGTCGTGTACTGTGACACCTGCCAAAGCGCTGGTCACTGAATGTTGATAGTTTGTCTGAGTGAGTGGAGGGGGGTTGTGGCTTAGCCATAGGTCAATTGCATTAGCAAGAATTAACTGAAGCTGAAGAAAAAAAAAAACAATCAGAGCTGAGGAGTCTCTAATACAGCTGTAAAGTTTGTGACCTGGCTGCCATGTTGAAAAAAGGTGAGCCAAAACCAAGCATTGCCCACGGCGGGAGTAAGTGTTCTCATTTTACAGCTAAACAGTACACCAAAATATGTTTTTTTAAAACATCTGAGGTGAGAAAAAGGCAATGCTGTAACAGAATCATAATTCATATTTGATTAGTACTGCCTAGGTTGACAGTTTGACCGCAGTTAACAAGCACATGGCATGATTTTGCCAAACAGGGCATGCTCCTGGATCAACACCCCACATCGCATTCCTGGAACAACACTGCAATCAACCAGTCACAGCCCTCTGTTTTCCACATTTAAGTTAGTACAATTAAACAATATCCTCAGTAACACTAAACAAAAACCTTGTAAGCTTTTACAGGGTTAGCGGTTTAGCTTGCTAACTAGGTTGGCTATGCTAACGTGTAAACTTGCCGATAGACAAGAATATCAGTAAGCTAGCTTGCTAACTAGGTATGCTATGCTAACAGGAAAGCTTGATAATAGGCAAAAATATTGTTCATTAACATAAAGAATAAGGATAATGACATTTTGCAGTTGCAAAGACCTGCAAAGGACACCTTTTTCCCCTCCTTTTTAATATCCTATTCATTTTTTTTTTCTTTTTTGCAAGATTGTGGTGCTTGTATTGATTAAGGGATATCATTGCAATGTTGGTGCCGGATAATTTGTATGTAGAACCATCATCATCATCTTTATCCTGCATAATTTGTTTGATACAAGACCATCATTGTCACGTTGACCCTGGATAATTTGTTTAAGCTGATACAAGACCATCATTGTCATGTTGACCCTGGATAATTTGTTTATGTTGGTACAGGACCATCATCATCACTTTGATTCTGGGTAAGTTGTTTATTGACCCAGGACCATCATCGGCATTTTGATACTGAATAGAATCACTGATGTTGATCCAGGACCATCACTGCTATGTACTGTATGTAAAAGTCAACACAAACAAATTATGCAGAATCATTGTGATGATGGTCCTGGATAAACCCAACCAAACCTATCCAGGATCAACATGAAAAAAGGAAGGAAAATGTATTAACTGCAGGAATTTGCGACCAAAAAATGCTATTATCCTTACTCTTTGTTAGTGAACAATATTCTAACCTATTGATAAGCTTACTTAGCATAGCCTACCTACTTAGCAAGCTAACTTGCTAACCCTGCAGTAGCTTGCAAGGTTTTTGTCCAATGTTACTGAGGATTTTGTTACAGTTGTTAATATATAATATTTCTAGTGGGCATACACATCACCTCGCTTTCCCCATTTTTCCCGTTGTCAGTTATACACACACAGACACACACACACACACACACACACACACACACAAGCTAGCTCATTCTCTTTCTCTCTCCTCGTAGCTGATGTAGACCAGATTCTTGCAAATATCAAACAGGTTTGAATTTCAATCGGTGTGGTTCTCATTAGGCCATTTGTCTCATTTGTAGTGGGTACACAAACTCTGTGTACACAGTGTACCTAAACTTGGATCTGAACTGTCAGGCACCGAAACCTCCATGGTGTTGCTAATAATGTGGTATTAATTTAGAATGACAAAAGATGAAAACGTAGTGTTGGTGGTGTGCAGCTGCAAGAAAATAAAGGACACCTGCCAGCCAGTAAGAAAGATTATTGTCAGGGTATAGATGTATGTGACACTATTATGTCCCTTAAGGCCATGAGTCTACTTTAAGTCCTAGTTGGAAATGTTATGGTGCATATAGCGTTCATAGAAGACCCATAATATATCACGAGAGAAACTGATATCTCAGTTCCTCTGATTATCTGATGTCAAAGTGAACTGTAGGTGAAAATAGCACCGGAAGATCATTGGCCATCGCCCCTAGCGTTTGATGTCACAGGATAACGTTGGCAATGCGTCACCAGCACCAGCTGCTGCTGCCTTGTCTGCTTGCCTCTCAGGGGGCCTGCTTCAGCTGTTTGGGTACACAAAATGTGTCCAGGCCAAACAAGGAACACATGTGGTCCAAGTCATGGAAGGCAGGCTGCAGACCAAGGGCATGTCTGCAATTGTGTCCTGGTGGCTTATCAGATCAATCTGTGGGGGCCTGCGGTGTCGCTTTTTCTTGTTAGGTCTGAGTGGTATTGCCGCTTTTGCACAATGGATCTCTGTATACAATGTAAATGTAACAACAATACTGGCCACTGGAACCAACACAGATACTAAGCTGACAGCATGCCTCATGCCAAAGACAGCAATTAGTTCAATGCTATTAGTGAAAGCTGTCTGGCTGCTATGGGAGGAGTCGTTTCCAGGGGAGGGTCATGGGGCTATTATCTGAATATGGAGAAGCTGCTGTATAATTACCCAGACTACTACTGTAATGCCATCAAACAAATTGCATCATAAGCTAATACTATCTGGGAGGGTAAGTCAGGTAATTACTAAATACATTAGCATTAGAATGAGAAAGAAATGAGAATTTCCCATCCACTAAAAGATGCATCCATAACAATAGTGTTCATTATACTGCTCACCATCAACATCAAATATTGAAGCTGACTCACTTCCTAAGTGGTTGAGTAAACATGTTTATCCAAATTCATGTGTGACAGATTGTGTATGACTAAGGCTAATTGTTTTCTTTTTCATTTTTTAAATGATTTTCACATAAAAATACCCTTTAAACTGATTTTGATCTTGATGAACACAAGAACGAAGCCCATTTTCAAATGCCATACGTGCTTTTCCTATGGTCTAAGACAGTCTAAAAATATGAGTAAACATGAACTCTCCACCAAATCCAAAAATTAGAGTGCTAAAACTCAAATCTGTGATGTCATTGACTGTAAAGTCTGGAACTGCTCCACAGACATAGAACTGGGACAGATGTTCTAGATGCCCCTGAGAGCACCAAGGGTAATGTTCTGAGTATATGGATACACTTTCTGTTCCATAACTGAGAACACTACAATAGAATAAAGCTCATTTGGGTATAAATAAGAAAACAAACATTCTTTGGGTCCATAAAATCAGCAGCTCCAGAGTAATCACAAGTTTGAGACTTACTTCTTTGGTCTCTGGCTTTGAGAGAGAGTGGCTCATCTTCACATATATTGATTGCACTTTCCTAGGCCATGGATAAAACCTATTGGAATTCTTAATTCAGGTGGTGTCCCCCTTTAATGTTCTAATCTGTGTTAAGGTTGCTGTGTTTCCCAATAAAAAAAGATTCAGACCATGATTTAAAAAGTTCCTCAGCTTAGAAAATTTTCCAATAATAGAAAGTGAAGAGAGGTATGTGTAGAAATGAAGAATAAGCAGCTGATTATGAATCTCTGATCCTGTTTCTAAAAAAATAGTTAAAACTACTGAGCACTGTTTTGCAAATAGGATATATATATGAAGTTATCTAAAATTGGATTTTCTAAGATTTTTAAGAAACAAAACAAACAACAACAAAAAAATAATGAGCCCTTTTTACTACTTATCTCTTTCTTTGAATTTTGCTTTGAATAGCGCTGT